AGGAACAGCAGCGGAGGCTTCAGGGAGTGTCTTCTTTTCGTTTCTTTTCTGCTCGGCATGCGCCCCATCTCCTCTGCTGGGGCAGAAAGAACAAAGTTGTTTTGGGTTTTTTCTTAACGCAACGTTATATTGACGTGCGTTGGATGTGCTACCTCTAACATCCTTTTCATCCCGACTGTAGCTGAGTCAGCTGTTCCTGGTCCCATCTTTTCTTGCCGCTGATCGTTCCTGCCTAAGAGCCAGTGTACCTCTCTTTGGACCTCTGCCTCGTTTGCCTCCCCTTGATAACAGCGTTCCTGCTCAGTCCCCGTCCGGCTTGTGCAATAGCATGCAAGTGTGGCACTGCTAAGGGCGCTTGTCCAAAAGGATGTGGGAACGTCAACCAGTTTCTAAATGATTCAGATGGGTTTTATGGATCCTCCTTGGAGTGGGGGAAGGAGGAAATTGGTCAAACTGCTTTTGATCCACAGAAGGATATTTATGGGTCAAGCTGTGGTTTGCTTAGATTATGTTCTCGGGAACAATTCCGCTATAGGGAATTGTGGAACAGGAACAGTGTTCTCTCACTTGTTAGAGGTTAATTATTTGATGTTGCTGTGATGCCTGTGGAGGCTTAATATAGGAGTGTGAGCTCTTGTCTTGCTCCACTCTGCACAGAACAAAAAGGCAGCCTCTGCCTGAAGGTGCTTCCAGCCTTGACCTAGGAAAGCGGCAATGCCAGCACTGGTCAGCAGTTACACCATGGCTTGCTAGTCAGCCTGAAGAAAAAAGAGGCTTAGGGATGGATGTGTAAGATAACTGGAAAGCTATAGGCTTCAAGCTTCTACTTAGAGCCCATCTTCTTATCTGTGGCAAGTTCTGGCTATAACCAAGGTGCTCAAACCATCTCAAAAAGATGCTTAGGAACACTGTGGGCGTTTTGTGTTTCCTTGGGTAACCCATCCAGGGCTTACTGACCTTAATGGTTAAAAGCATTTCCTGCTAGTAAGCACTGAAAATTGAACTTCACTGCAGTTAAAAGCCACTTCTGCTTGCTGTGAATGTAGAAGGGAATAAATGTTTGCCTCTTTCTTCACGTAACTAACTATTGTCAATTTTTCCTTCTCTCTCCGGAGCCTTTCCATTTTTTAAACTTCATAATTTTTCTTTACACTTCTGATCTTTCTTGTGGCTGTCTTGGAGAGCCCAGATGGTTCATTTTCAAGTGTGGTCCTAAAAAAGCAGCCTTTAATCTCTACTGCATCTGAGCCAGTTGTTCCTACTCTTGTATTTTCCTGCAGCTGACAGTTCCTCTTGAGGAACTAGAGTGCATAACTTCTTGAATTACACTGTACCTTTTCACACTGCTTCTGAAGACTACTCTAAGTGCTACCCCTATCCTTTTGTGCTATTTGAATGAGAAAGTAGCTTGTAAATGTCTACAGGAGCAGTACTGTGTGGAGCAGGTACTTGTCCTTGCATTGAACAAGTAGGTGATGGGGTCTGGTGTCCTGGGGTAACATGATGTAGGAGGCCAAAATGACCTTTTGGTGTTCCCTGAGGGTCATAGGACAAAGCAGGGCATACTGGCCTTAAATAATACTCTTTATGGGTTGTATCATGGCTGGGTTTGTCTAGTGTAGGGTGTCTGACTCCTTTTCTGAATGCAGACATTCATACTGTCTTGCATGTGTATCTTCTTCCCTATTTAATTATTAAGCAGGTATTTAATCTGTAATAATTCTGACATGCCGTGATAATTGAAATATTGCTATAGTGGAATTATAGTTAAATTGGTGAACATCTTTCATGTACAGTCCTCTCAGATACTTTAATGGCTTCTATTTATTGGCTCATACATAAATACTCGACGGCTGTAAGCATGCAGATCTGACATGGTTGAACATTCAGCTTCTTGGTACTGATGGAATTTTTCATCTTAACTGCCAAATGTAGAGTTCAGGCTTATGGTGACTAATTACATGCATATAATTAAGTATATGAGTTTCTTTTCCTTGTTACTTGGTCTTACCATACATGACTAGTTGGGCACTTGCAGTGAAAATGATTGCACTAGTAACTGCGTAGTGTACTTTGAACCTGAAGATGGGACATGCCTTCCTACTGTTAACTTGTAAGGCAGTGGTCCTGAACTGTGTGTGATGGGAGAGAAGAAACACTGCCTCGGGCACCCCCTGAGAGCCCTCACTGGAGCCCCTGGGCAAGGTGTGAGGCTGCGTCAACAGAGGAGATGCATTGTCTGGAGCAGAAAGCAGGTGCCTGCCCTTCGTATCCCTCTGACCAGGAGGAAGACGGGCAGGGAGCTGGGGGGACACCTATGCAGTGAGCATGGGCACAAGAGTCCTTCCCTCCTGTAACAGAAGGTGGGAACCAAAAGCTGAGCAGACCTTTGCTCAGGGAGAAGGATTGAGAGGAAGGTGCTCAGCTCAAGGATGGACCTAAGCCCTTCCTGTGTGTATCTGGGGAGCAAATGGTGAATGACAATGAACCTGCCTTCCTTTTGGGCAAAAACGTTTACTGGTACCTCAGACTGCACTAACAAGAGAGTTTTTAGTTTGTTCCCTAGGGATGTTACCTGTTGTTTTGTCATTAAGACCCTTGTCAGTTCTTTCTCTTTTTGCAGGTTTCACATAAACTGTTTACCAGACATGCCTCTGCATGTCCTGTACCTAAGCTGATAAAGCGTCTATGCACTTTAATCTCAAGTCTATGCCACTCTGCTAGTACAGCGTGAGCTGTGCCTTGAACCTTGGATATAGAGACCTACAAGCCAAAGTCTTGTTCCTGCCTTAGTAATGTTCCAGAGGTTAAATAACATGTTCATGGGAGAGATTGATGGCTTGTCCAGCCAAGAGCCAGAGTTCAGTGAGAAAGAAGATGACGAGTGGATTCTGGTTGACTTTATAGGTAAGATGTCTGTCAAACATAAGCTCTGCCTTTGTTCTGCTCTGGCTCTTACTTATCTTACTTCCTTATGAAGGCACCAGTAGCTTGGGAAAAGCTTTACCTGAGCAAAATGAGTGGATTAGAGTGTAGGGTGTCTTCCAAACAAATGTACTAAAACATGTTACGTAAACTGATGAGAAGAATGATATCAGGCTTGTAAGCATGACACAGGCTTCAGCAGAACCACTTGTACAGATAAAATATGTTTGACTTATTATGCAATTGTATTGCTTTGCTGATAACAGTGGTGTTGCATGTCTGGCATGGCTTATCAGGGAACTCCCTTATCCCCTCCCCAGCTTCTAAAAATGTAAAAACTTGTGTATGTGCTAATAGCAGATTTTCTGTGTTTTGTTTTTTTTCCTGTATCCCATTGCTGACTCTGTGCAACCGTGTTGTTATCAACCTTCTGCGATCACCAACATCCATGGGTTCCTCTGCGCTGACTAATGGCACCTCCAACAGACACTTGCACTAACTGCTCCACGGAGGAGGCAGACATGGACGAAGCATCGGCCGCAGATGGCTCTCCTGTCTTCTCTTGTTTACCATCTCCCTTGGAACACTTGCCAGAGGCCAGCGAGTCTTGCTTCATCCAGTTCGAGTCATGCCCCATGGAGGAGAGCTGGTTTATTACCCCTCCCCCGTGTTTTACTGCAGGTGGATTAACCGCTATCAAAGTGGAGACCAGTCCGATGGAGAACCTCCTCATAGAGCATCCCAGCATGTCTGTGTATGCTGTCCACAATACCTGTCACAGCCTTAACGAGACTGGGTGTGGAGATGAGGAGTTTCACAGCCCAGGTAGTCCCAGGTATGTCTGACTTCCCTTGTCAAGGAGCTCTGTTGCTAAAATATCTGGTTTCTACTTGATCAGCTTAGACACTTAATACTGAATTTTCCAGCTTATTTCCAAGCAGGTGAATAAAGCATGAATACTACACAAGGTGGGTAGGGTGGTCAGGGCTGCCTGCCTGCTTAGAAGAATGTTACACAAGATGACCGTGTCAGGAAGTGGTTGGGTTTGCTGTTCTGACACTATGATGAATATTTATGGAGCCTAATTATTCCCTTGCAGAATGTGCTCTGGTCCTGTTGAAACTGATGGCAGTTAAAGCTCATCATGTAGTTTTGAAAGCACTTTGCCCCCTTCCTAGCTATGTGTATTTTTCAGAACTTTACATAACAGGACCCTTTCAGTCCCTCATGAGATGGAAAATATTACTTTAATTGGCCTGACGGGGAAGTCTGGTTTGGTTTGTTGATTTTTGGGTTTTTTTGTGATAGATTAGGACAGGATTAAATTTTCTCACAGGTTGCTTGTAGAACAAAGCAAACTGAAATATACCACAAAACTTACTCCTCTCAAGGTAAAAATGTGTGTTGCACATCTCTACTTTTAGTGAGGTAAAAAGTTGTGCTTGTTTGGGTCCTAAAGATCTGGCTGTGGAGAATTATTGCAGAGGCACGTTTGCCATGCACTGCTTCTCTGGTGTCAACTGTCCAGTTTATACAGCTGTACCAGCACAGTATACACAGATGAATACAAATAGAGTATTTCTTTGCCATTATGACTCCACACTTGCCCATGTGTTCATTGATTTGGAAATAATTGGGTGGTTTATGATTCCTGGTTAGTAACAAAGACTGGCTTTTTGTCCCATCTGATGCTTAACGTTGGAAAAAATTAAAAATAAATCTTAGTGTCCTAAGGTGTGCTCTGCAGGAAAAAAAAGTGTAGTGCTAGAGTTTCTGTAGGTAGATGCCCATTGACTTTTCTGATCAGCTCCTTGCTCTGTTTAAAGTTCTTCAAAGAAACAGGTGACTTTGAGATGCTGTATAGTATTGAAGTATAGTGCTGATACCATTCATCTTAGAATGGAGATTTGAGGATGGCAGTTTGTGATGTTGAGCATCAAGGGTCAAGCTTAACTTAAATTGGAGAAGCTATGAGTGCACAGCACCTTTAAAAGGAGGGTCTGAAGGAATCGGCCTCAAGGCTGAGGCTTGCCCTAGTGAAAGACAGTAATTTGCAGTGGATGGTAACACACGAAGTTGAATACTGATTTCTCAGTGACTTGAACTGGGGATACTGGTATAAATCCACCTGGAGAAGAATCCTGTCTTACCTTACACAGTACAGCTAAGCTGCGTTAATGTGTGGGGAAGCTAAAGGTATGATCATCTTCAGCTCGTGTCTGATAAGTTTCTTCACACTGAATTCTGTGCTGTTGCTTCATCAGAGGATCTAGGCTTTTGTATACATTATTTTGGGTGGCAGAACCAGGAGGAGGCTTAAGTCTAAAGCTGAAGTAGTCTACAGATACTGGGAACTTCAATTACGCTGATAATGCAGTACGTTTCAAAAGCTGTTTTGAAGTCTCTAGTGGTTTAATGGTTGGCCATTTAACATTGTAGGGCCAAGAAAAGCTGCTTAAGGCACACTGGCACAGTAAGTACTACTGTTTGGGGACAGTGCTTTTTGTTTGATCAGGCTGCTAGCAACGCTGCTTCCTCTAGAGCCTTGTCTGACAAAACAATACTGGTTTCAGGACTAACCTTTGTGCCAAATGATGTTACTTGATCAAGCCTAACTACATCTGCTTTAACAAGCCAAAATGCTCAGTGCAGAAAAAATAATCAAATATTAATTGGGGTGGGGTCTGAAGCCTTTAATTTGTCTTGTGAGGTCTGGCTCTGTAGTGCAACTAGCAGGACTTGGATGCTTTCTAGCAAAATAGATGCTGGGGGTGCAGCAGTGAATGTATGTAGCAGCAGCCTGGCTTTAGACACAGCCCCTCTAAAGTCACGTTTTGATAGTGTTGATGGAGGCTCATCGGGCCTGTTCTCTCAGTGCTCGGAGCTCACTAGTGTCAGGCTACTAAAGGCAACCACTAAGATTGCAAAATGCCATGTTTCAGAGGAGTATGTAGCTTTTTAGCTAATTCAGACCACCTCTGCTATCCCAGTTCCATTTTAAGGTGACAAGTAGAAGAGTGTTGTTTTGCAAACTGGTGCTGAAAGGGTATTTGATAAGAGGGGAAAAACTTAAGTATCTTCAACCAGCAATTTTATACCAGTTTTTCTTCTGCAAAAGGAGGAAATCTATTTGCTTCTTTTAAATTCTTTTCAGAGCCAGAGCCTGTTGTATAAACTTCCCTCTGTTCATCAGCTTAGTCATATTTTTCCATAACAAACAACAACACTTTGTATTAGCAGCTAGCTAATAACATGCAGCAAGGGCATGCTTAGGAAATATGGGTGATTTCCTGTGAGTGTCACAACTGATCTATCTTTCTCATCCTAATAAGTGTGGTGTGGCTTCCTAGCTCCTTAAGCTCTCCCCAGAAAGGCTTCACTTGGAGTTGCACACAGCACTGATGAAAGTTAAATTAAACTCGTGTAATCCACGTAGAAAGTACTTACAGTGGACTGAGAATTGACCTGTGCTATTTGCTCACTTCTTGCTTTGTATATCAGGTGTTAGGTTTAGTACAATATACAGTGAATGAACAGGAAAAAAACAGCATGTCACACATGGCTTTTTTGGAGCCTGTAGGCTTCAGTCATACCAAGCTACCGAAGGATCCAAAAGCAAGTGGATTTGGGTGTTTAGAAGAAAGCAGAAGAGAGAGTATTCCCTTGCTGACAGGGAGTATTTTGCTCCAGTGTAGGAGTGGGTGAGGCAGAAGAGTTCGCTTTTGTGCCAGGCACCTGCAGCCCCTCAAGAGCAAGGTAAGGGTGTACCATGGGCATGGCAGACCAGACTTGCATCTGCAGAGACATCATATGATACATGAAAGTTAAGGTCTTCCAAAAGAGACTCTAAAGTAGTCATGTTAGAGCTGAAAAGCAAACTTCCCAAGAGACCTCTTGTTCATGCCTGAGCAAGCTCCTGGTCTTGCAGACATCTTTCCTGGGCGCCACTGAGTTGACAGCTAGTCACTGTGTCCTGGGTGGGGAGAGAGAAGGCAAGCAACTCTGGTGCCACTGATCTCACACCAGTTGCGGAGCTCAGACTTCGGATTTGCTTTGCTTTTAAAACTGCCAGGCTATTTTTAGCTTTTCTTGGGAAGCTTCAGGAAACACCAATGATTGTTCTGTCAAGTAGGGAAGTCCTTTTTCAGTATATCAGTCCCTGCTTGCATAGGCTGCTGTTTTGTTTTTTCACTAGTGCATGATGGAGTAAGGGTTTGCCAAAACTGCTGACTTTCTGCTCATGAAATCTGGAGGGCTGGTTGAGGAGCAATCCTGAGTTATTTCCTGTGTGTGTCACAACTGGTCTGTCTTTCCCATTCCTCTTCACAAACATTGTTTGGATTTACTTGTGTGGCTGGCAATCCAAACACGCTTTTATTAGTGTGCTTCTGTTTTCAGGCTGAACCACTTATGTTCAAGACTACTTTTTAAAACCAAACTTTGGCTAGTGGTAACTCCAAGTCTTCTAAAGCTGGAGCAGTGTGACACACATTGCCTTATATTTCTGAGCTATATTGCATCTTGGACTTAGGGAGGTGGGGTGGGGAAGGAAGGGTGCAGTGGTATGAGACACCAGAAGTCCAAAGCCTGTTGTGGTGCGTGGTGCCCTCACACAAGAAGTGAGTTAGCAGCACTACACGTTGCTTACCAGCGTGGCTTTCCCGGCTTGACCTCGCCTCAGTGCAAATCTGTGTCCCGTAGTTTAAGGCTCCCCTTTGAAATGCTGGATGTTGATGTCCCTGTTCTGCCCTGTGTAGTTCGCGTGTCTTTGCAATGCTCCTCAGTAATGGCTGATACCTGCTTGTCCCATTTCTAGACTGGAAGCCCTAAATGAAACGGGGCAGCGTGTTCACTGCTACGTCACAGCTCTTGCTACTCGTTCAACTTTTCTGGAAAAAACCAAGAGCTTTCGTCCTACCCACTGGATAAAAGAACATAATGAAAGACACTATCTCAACAGAAATGGTCTCCGTCGCCAAAACCTTACCAGGGATTGCCACTCCCGGCAAACCAAGCACAACGGACTGTTTGTTCACCAGCCTTGCCAGCGTCAGTTCAATTACTGATGGTTCTTGTGGTTTTAATCTATGGTCTAATTGGTTTTTAGGTTGCTCTTGTTTCCATGTGTAGGTAAGTGTGGTCAATCCGAAGCTGATCTTCAATCCCTCAAACGCAATCATAACTATAGAGTTGCATTCTTCTGAAATGACACCTAAATCTCCAAACATCTTGCAGCAAGTCCTGAATGTTGATGTTAAATATCAATGTCTTGGAAGCCTACCACTAAGATAGTTTGTGTGCTGTTTTATAAACTATGTATAGATGGGTTCTTAGTTGGTCTTTTAAAGAAACTTAACTGAGATGGAAATCAGTTACATTTTACATTAATCAAAGTGGAGTTAGGAAATTTGAGGTTAGGTGTATTCTTTAACTACCAGAACTTGACAGCTTGTGTATCTCTCTATTCCGCATATATAATTACTTTCTAACAAAGACATACTATAGCTGCCAGTGGATATTAAATAGCTATGCTGAACTGTTACAAGAAGGACATCTAACGTAAATTGCCTAGTACCTACCTACTTGTGTTAGTGGAGTCTGTGTAGCTGTGTTGGATACTTGATATGGGTATCAAAAAGGGTTAAATGTCTCCCCCCCAGTATTGTTGCGGTAGGATATGGCACTGGTGTTACAGATGTAGTACCTCACAGTGGAGTGGAAGGAAAAGTGGGCCTATGGGTTAAGTGCAGACATACAACACAGAGCTGAACTGGGTTTTACTTGGTGCAGTTTGAATTCTTATTCCCTTTCTCTGACTCTTTCTGGTTTTAAGAGATGTATTTCCCCTACCCCATTTCATTTAATCTCTTGTCTATTTGTAGGAAAAGGATAGTGTATTGACTGTTCTTTTAATCCCATCAGTAGCTGACCGCTCTTTAAAGAAGTCAGGCTGATTGATAGCTATTTCTGAGCTGTTAATTGCTGTCTCCTATTTACTAAGTAGCTCAAAAGCAGCTAGAAGGAAGGTCATCTTAGTTCCAATTTTCTCTCTTTCTCTCTCTCTCTAAAAATGAAGTCCAAGTTGATTGTGACTGGAAATGAAGGGCAGTGTGTGGCAGGGAGGATGCTGAAAAACAGTCTTACAGAACTAAACACAGAGATACACACAGGGGTGTATAAAAATGGAGATAGATTGACAGTGTTGTTCCCTTAGCCCATTGCGGGCAGAAGGACTGTATAGCAATTCCATGGGCCAACAGGAAAGAAGAACCATCCAAAACTGACAAGTAATTTTCTTAAAAACATTGTACAACATGTTTTGGAAGGTGGCAGGTGCTTGAAAAAGCCAGAACACAAAGCTCACCTGTTAATAAAGAGTGTGTATTAAACAGCAGCCACATGGCATGCCAAACCCTGGTAGATCAATCTGGGAAGTAGACTAAATGCCTATGGAGGTGAGGAAGCAGAAATCTGCACTGAAAAAAGAGGGGAAATATCAGTAGGTTTCTCCCCCTTTCTGTCAGTACCTAATGTGACTTACTGTTTTTAACTTGTGTTTATTGCCTAGGGCATTAAAGTGTTAACATTACATCCAACAGTGTCTTCCAGTAGTCCTTATACAGAAGCTAGTATAAGGAGTCATGTGAGGATTCTTTAACATCAGGCAAGATCAATAATGTGAATTATTCTAGACCTATGAAGTATTTTAAATTCAGCCAAATGCTTCAAATTCATTGAAGCCAAACCCCTACAACTTGGATTGACCTTGATGTAACAGTACTGTTGCATATTCTGCAGCTGGAATTGTTCTGGAACATGCTTAGTATACAGGAAATGGCACTTATAACCTCTGTTTCACTGCAGATGTGCTGCTTCACTGGGATTAGTAAAGATTGTTGCAAGGGGATGCTGACAAATAGTTAAGTGTGTAAAAGCAATAGGTGCTTTCCTGGATACACTAGTCTTTATTTTTTTTAAGACATGTTGAATTTACATGCACAGTGAAAGAAAACAGAATCTGTCACATCATAAGTTTCCAAAACAGATTTTTATTACCATTTGCAGCAATATGTGCCTGTGTCCATACAACAATTCTTTGGTGATCCAAATACTCTGGTTTATCCGCAAATAGCTGTAGTTTTCACCAGTCTCTCATCTGTTCACAAATACTCTTACTTGCCTCAGATTATCTACTTACATCACTCCAGCTTTTTGCCCAGTTTAAACTTCCTTCTCCTCACTGCCAACTTTCTAGCTCAGGAAAATTCTTTTCTTTCCTGTACTTTTTTTCTTTGTATAAAAGTAACTTCTTTCCTTCAGCTTTAATTTTCTTAAAGTGAAATGAAGGAAGATGGAGTCTCCACCTCCCCATGTTAGAAGGAGTTAAGTAATCCTTTAACTCTTGACAGGGAGATGGGAGTTGAGAGTATGAGGCTCCCAGGCATTACAGTGAGAGCCTTGGACTGTTCTTCTCAGTAGGCAAGTAAATGCAACTTTAGACTGCTCCTAGAATTGGGAGATACTGATCTTTTTATACTACATTACTAGATGACTTTCTGGTGATGAAAACCTATATCTTTCAGGATATAAACTATTTTGTTGCACAAAGCTGTGCTTCTCAATTTGTAATATTAGAAACAATATTATTGTGTGAGATAGTACTGCATCAATGGCTTTTTGTTAATGTGTTTTGCATATTTATGTTGGTCTAGCCCTGTTTTGTGCCTGGAGCTATTGGGCAAATAGATTTGTTTTGGTTTTCTGTTTCAATAGCAAGCTGTGTGGCTTCTTATATGGTTTTTTGACTTGTATTAAGGTGTGTGTTCTTGTAAAAGCGGAGGCCTTGCACTGTCTTATACTGATTGATATTCATGAATCTTGCTGAAACTGTATTTTCATACGTATTGGTCAATAGACAGATTTGCATTTTTAAACTGTGCCTTCTACACAGCAAACTTGAAGATTCAAAAAGGGACATTTCAGTTAGGATTAATACTGTACATCAGTCTATGCATATATGGCAGCTTCTCTCCAGAGCCACCTCTCTATTTGTAGCAGTCCTTTTGATATGGAAGAATGTCTGGCTCTTATTTTTAATAGTGTAACACAAGCTGAAAACAACAAAGTACAGCACTTTGCCAAAAAGTAGCATTGCTTAACCAGTGTGTATTTACTAAAGTGATCTTCTGTATTTTGTTTTCATAGTGCATTGTGCACATCGTGGGGAAACATGATCTTAACTCTCAATAAAAAATGGCCTATTAAAAATTGTCTCTCTGTTCTCTTATGTTGCAGGTCAGTCAGAACCCAGATGCCTGAGCACCCCATTCAGGTGTGGCAGGGACAAGTACTGAGTGTACAAGTACTGAATGTACAAGCTAGAGAATGCTTGCTCTAGCGCCCGAGTTCTCTGAGAACCAGTGTGCATTGCTGATCAAGTGATGATGCGTGGTCTAAGTAGTGTTGCACATCTCTGCCAGCCACAGTGCCATAGGTGAACAGATAAAAGCACGTTGCCATTTCAGGTGTGCAAGGAGTAGCGGCAAGGATTTTGCTCATCTAGACAAAACTTCTGTTTCAACTCGTACCCATTATCTATCATCCTCCTGCCATGCACCACCATGAGAAGTCTGTATGGAAGGCTGCTGTTAACATTCAAGAGGTGGAGGCAGGGACAGGTAACCTGTGAGGGACATAAGCATCCTACACAAATGTCCAGGGATGTGTTTAGGGAAGCCAAGTCCAAGTTATCTGTAACGGAACCTGGCAGGGGGTGTGGAGGACAACAGGCTCTCCACGTGTGTATCTGCGGCAAAAAGATGATCAGAGAAAACGTGGGCCTGCTGCTAAATGGGGCAGGAGTCCTCATGACAAAGGGACATGGAGAAGACTGAGGTACTCTGTCTTCTTTGCCTGGATATTGGTAAAACAAACCTTTGGGAACTGCAGGCCCCTGAGGCCCATGGGAAAGGTTAGAGCAGAGCATATCAACCCTCGGTTAGGAAGGGTCAAGTTAAGAAATGCTTAGAGCTGGGCCATATACAAGTCTATGGGACACATCCATGGCTGGTGAAGGAGTTGTCACTGTGAAGCTGTTCTCAATTATCTTAAAGGTTATAGCAATAGACAGGATTCCCGAGGGGTGGAAGAAAGCAAATGTCCTTCCTCTCTGCAAAGAAGGACGAGAAGAAGGGGAGGGGGGGACGGACGACGACTAGAAGACAGTTGGCCTCATCTTGAGCTCTGGAAAGGTGATGGAGTAAATGGTTCTGGAAATCATTTCCAAATGTGAATAAGAAGGTGATGAAGAGTAGCCAGAATGGATTTATGCTGGGGAAAGCATGCCTGATAGCCTTCTACAGTTGGATGAGTGGCTCAATGGTTGAGAGGAGAGCAGTGGATGTTGTTTTTCTTGACTTCAGCAGGACTTTTAAGTGTCTCCTGTAGCATCCCTCAAAATGATGAGTTAAAGACCATGTAAGTAGATGGTGTGCAGGTGCACTGAGAACTGGCTGAACTGCTGTGTTCAAAGGGCTGTGGTCAGTGGCATGAACCCGAGCTGAAGCCCGGTTGGTTTTGGTGTACCCTATCAATATTGGATCTTGCACTGTTAAAAACCTTCATGAATGATGTGGGTCATGGGGCAGAGCGCACAATCAGCAAGCTTGCAGCAGGTAGGAGGAGCTGTTTATACACCAAAGGGCTGTGCTGCCGTTCAGGAGGACCTTGACAGACTGGGGAAATGGGCTGACAGGAACTGCATGGAGTTCAGCAAGGAGAGACAGAGTCCTGTACAGGGAGGAAAAATGAGCCCAGGCACCAGGCCAACTGCCTGGAAAGCACCTTGTCAGAAAAGGCCCGGGGGGTCCCGGAGGACACCAAGTTGACCATGTGCCAGCAGTGCACCCTTGTGGCCTCTAAACTGAAAGCTTCCTGGGCTGCATTAGGAAGGGCGTTGCAGCAGGTGGAGGGAGGTGATCCTTCCCCTCCACTCTGTGCTGGTGAGACATCCGAATGCTGTGTCCAGTGCTGAGCTCCCCAGCGTGAGAGAGATGTAGACAGACTGGAGTGTATCCAGCAAGAGGCCAAGGAGATGATAATGGGATTGAAGACTGAAAGAATGGGGAGAAGCTGGGATTGTTTAGGCTGGAGAAGAGAAGGCTCAGGAAT